TTTGGGGGAAAGTAAAAAATTTTTTTTTTTTTTTTTTTTTTTTTTTAAGGAGAGATGAGCCTTGATCCATGTTCTAGGTTTCTATGAAGAGTAGACTTTTACCTCTGTCTAGGTAGATTTGTAAGATACTCAGGGCTTAGTTGAAGGGTTTGGCAGCTCTCCTGGAGGGCAGACACGTTTATGCAGAGCAACCTGTTGTTTACAAAGCAACTTTCCTACAGTATTCTTTAATTCGTAACAATTTTATGACATAACATTATTATTATTGTTACCATCATTTTACAAATAAAGAAATGAATTCTCAGGTTAGGGACTTAACTCATGTTCTCGTTTGTATGTGGTGGGGATGGTACGTGAACCCATTTCTTCTGGCTTCTCCTTGTTCTTGATACGGTTATTTCCCTACCATATTATAATTACTGGCATATTGTTTGATGATCTTAGTGTATTTACTTATGTAGGTAATAATCAGAGTTAGAATAGTTCATAACAGATTTCCTAAATTTTTACTAGGAGCTGACATTCTTTTCTTCCAGTTAGTAATTACTCTTCACTAATCGAAGAGCCCCTGTCATCCAGGCAGTTATTTAGCAAAGTGTAAGAGTCAGAGAAGAATTTCCCCGTGGCAGCTTCCTCTGCCAGCTTCCTTTTTTTTTCTTACTCCATAGACGCAGATTCTGCACAAGAAGCCCCTGCATTGCAGAGGGACTGGAGATCTGTATGATCTGTTTATTTCGCAATTGACAAGGGTAAGGGGGCTTTTGTGGGGGAGGTGCTTGGGTGCCCTGAATTTAGCATTATATAGCTGGGCTAACATTTATTTTGGGTCATTTAAACTTAGTATTAAGAAAAAAAAAAGAAACTTCTATAAATTTTGCCTGTCTTTTATCAGTTAAGTGTCAGATATTATAATAAAAAACATTTATTATAATGATTTTTTTTTTCTTCAAAGTCCCATTTAGAACAAGTCAGACAAACTTGATTCATGCTTCTAAAATTCCAAATCTGGGATCATTTAGAATATAAATAATATTGAATATATGTAAGTAAAATTTCACTACCATAAAAATTTTAAAAGGGTTTTGGATAAATACCTATTTCTATAGCACATCATAGTTACTCTACCAGTCTGCTTGGTTCCTTTTCCATAAATCTGTCCATCTGTAGAGTGAAAAAGGGACTTGTGACTATCTCTTAATATTATGGATAGGTGTGTTGTCTTTTTCTTGTTGTTGGAAATTAATGCTTCCTTGTGTACCAATGCCAATGCAATCCGAGTTGTATCTTCAGACTGTCATGTATCTAATTGTTAGGATAGATGTGAAACTGCAGATGTTGAATCTTATGGGAGCCGGGATTAAGTTTTGTAGGGTCTCACTTGGCAGGTTTATAGAACAAGTGCCAGAAATGGTGGGTATATATAAAATAGGATGGAATTTATAAAATAAGTGAGAAAGAGTTCATTGCTTTTAAAGTCACGGAAGGATAGAGCAAATGATTGTAGCCTTGGTGGGTAGTTGAGAAGACTTGAGTTGTCATGGTCTGATTGTTATTTTTGAGCGTATTATTACACCTGGTAGTAAAATAGCATTGTTTATCTACATAAGTAGCATACATTTATGTCATTTAAATTGGTATTTTTAGTGTTCTGTACTCCTTATATTTTTTAATTGTCTTCTTTAAACAACTTACAGATTTTAAGAATTCAATAATAATATCATATATGTTATCCTTACCATTATTAATAAATATTCCACTTTCTAGGGCCAACACATTTGGAAAGCTATTTTTATTTTTTAACATCTTAAGTGACTTTTTTTTTGTTTTTTTTTCTGTTTTCTTTAAGCCATAAGGATGAGTTTACCATTATTCCTGTACTGGTTGGAGCTCTGAGTGAGTCAAAAGAACAGGAATTCGGAAAACTCTTCAGTAAATATCTAGCGGATCCTAGTAATCTCTTTGTGGTTTCTTCTGATTTCTGCCATTGGGGTAAGTTTTAGATTTTACATATCATGGTCGAGATATGTATATATATATATACACACACACACACACTTGTGGTGAAAGCTATCTTTTCATTCCAAGCTCTAATTTTCAGTTCTTTATCACGTTCCTTGGAAAGTTTTAGCAGCAATGTTTAAACAGTAAATAAAAAAAGTCTTTTGGTTATTTGAAAAGGATCAGATTATAATAGTGGTTTATGGATACATTTCCAAAGGCGACTGGTATAATTGGATTCACACTGTGAGGGCATCCTTGCTTAGACACTTTTAGTGGGAGTTAAGATCTTTTAACCCTCCCATTTCCAGGTAGGTTTGTATGGTGGATTCTCTGAAGTTAGTTTTGGTGGATAAAACAAATGTTCTTTAGAGTGTAGAGGAGCACTTTTCCACATTTCCTTTCTTGTAATTAGTCTTTGTTCTTTTTCTTTTGTTGCCTTTTTTTTTTTTTTTTTTTGCCCACTTTACCCTTG